AACTACTTCACAGTTAGGGCGGCTAGGAGCTGGAACCAACTTCCAAGGGAAGTGGTGCTGGCCCCTACCCTGGGGGTCTTTAAGAAGAGGCTGGATGCCTACCTGGCTGGACTCATTTGAGTCCCGTTTCTTGTTTTGGGGTTTTTGTTGTTCTCCCGCCCTGGCAGGGGGTCGGGCTAGATGATCTACTAGGTCCCTTCCGACCCTTAATCTATGAAACTATGAAACTATGAAAGCCTTTGGCCTAGGAGAGAGAGGATGACACAATTCCCTGAAATTCTCCATAAAAGTTCACAGTTGCTCAGAAGCCAAGTCTCTACCTGGGGACATTGCTGTGGCAGGAGGAATCAGTGCTGCTGGCCTTCCAGTGACCTTTGGAGAAGCCATACAGGGCTGTGGGCCAGAGGGGATGCTGTAATACGGGTAATTACATTCCCTTGCACCAAGCCAAGAACCTTCAGCACACAAGAGGTGGCAGGGGAGGACCGGGGGGTGCTAGTAAGGGAAGGATGTCAAAACAAACAGGCCTCAGCAAACTAACCTGATTTGTCCAACTCACTACACAATGGCAACAGCTGAACCATTTATGATCTAATTCTGACCCTTGCTGGAGCCCCTCCACACCACTTTCACAGTGTGAAGGGGTCAGAAGGGGCCCCAGACAAAATAATGCAGCAGTATGTAGAATTTTCCTTCCAGCACTAGGCTGGTGAAACAGCCCTGTCCCACCTTCCTATATTGCTACCAACCTAGAGTCATTCTGAGGTTAGAAAGAGATGGTGCTGGATCACATTGAACTTTGGCTAATATGGGCCACAGAGCAGACCATAAGCAACAGAGAAAGGCTGCTTTAACTCAGAGCAGCCTCAGGAGTGGTTCAAGTTACTGGTGGTGGTGGGGGGGAAGAACAGTAGATCCCAACAGGCCCAGTGAAGAAAAGCCACATGTTCCCTCTCCTTGGCAGAAAGGTGCAGAACAGAACCTTGTTGGTAGTCTCAGCATTGGAAAAGCTGTCTCACCCTAGCTCACCTCCACAAGAAATAATGAAGGGAAATAATCCAGTGGGATTTAAAAGGGACTCAAGTATGGATTTGGATGATTAGTTTGCATAACCACCTAGAAGATACAGTAGAGATGGACAGTGAGATTAGAATGGCTAAGCTCTGCGTGGACATAAGTAGCAGTCTGTGAGGGGAGCTGGCAGTGGGGTGATGGAATAATTATTTCTATCCTGGGATGAAGTGTTGTTCAACTGACTCCATGCATTATGGACAGTCTCACCTTCTTCTGAAACAGCAGGCACTGTGGGTTGCAGAAATGGGGGATAGCAAACAAACTGGGCCATTCATCCCTGCTGGCATAGTGGGAAGTGGAGCATCAGACTGGCTGAGCCAATGATCCCTGCCATACGGCAGTGGCAGCACACTCCCAGAAGAATGGGGCTCACTTGTCCCTGGTGGTTTTGTAACAGCCTGTGACTGTTCTAAGTAGCACATTATTAATTAGTGGTTTTCTGCTGCAAATGGAAAACTTTTGAATGTGTAACAGTGGATTTTAGCTTTATGAGAGGCCCTAGATACAAAATAGCCCCCCTTGCAGTCTTCCTTCATTTTGTCCTAACAGCCTACACTGACTGGCAGGAGTTTTTCCAGACTATATCAGCAGAGTTCAGTAGGTGCCATCATGGGTCTATGCACCCTCAAATGAGAGAGGGAGGGAGGGATGGAGGGAGCCCTTGTTTCAAGGTGAAGATGTGAATGAAAGGAAGTTTCCAAACAGAAGTGCATGAGGAGTCACTTTCCTGGCAGGAAGCTGCTTGGGATGGCTAACTAGTCCTGCCTGGCTCCTCAGTATTTCATTGTCCCCTTCTCTTCACAACTGGATGAGCTCTTGCAAAGGGAAAGAAGACTGGCCTGCCCAGAAAGATAGTGGGAGCTGGAACTCCCTGAGAATGTTGGCTGATCAGGGCTAGGGACCAGGCGCAGCTAGTGAACTCAGATGGGAGGGGAGGTGGACTGTCCCACGGGAGCAGTGGGAAGGGGTTTGCAGCAGCTGGCAGTCAGGGTTGGGGGGGAGGTTTGCAGCTGGCTGGGAGTGGGAGGGTTTGCAGCCTCTCTGCTACTGGCCAGAGTGCCTGGCCGGCTGCAAACCTCCCCCCACCCACCCCCAACTCCTGGTTGGCTGCAAACCCCCGCTCCCGTGGGAAGCTCTACCGCCCCACCAGCCATGCCTGCTAGGGACAGACATTAAAAAAGCCTGAGCCTGAATTGATTCAATCTTTGCAGGTTAGTCTAACCTGACTAGGCTGAACCAGTTTGTAGTTGAACAGACATTCCCTCTGGACTGAAGAAATGCCAGCACATGCCTGCAATGGCTCAGGCTAGAAGCTGGGGGGACACTAGAGTAGTCCTCCCTTCCCTTCTACAGAGCTGAGCTGGGGGGGCGTAGCCAGGCCCCACAGGATGCTTTGATTAGGGTGGGGTTCCCCCACCCTTGAGCAGCCCAGCAGGGAGTTGATAATACAGAGTTTATCACTCCTAATTCAGTGTTTATCAGCCCATTAGGAAAACAACAGCCTCTCTCATTAGTTCAATCTCTTCTTAAACAACTTTTCCAAGGAAGGACCAGAGAGACATTACCAGCTACCTACTGATTAGCTCCAAAGAGCCCTAAACCAACACTGACCTGTCTCCCACAGCACAGATTATAGCCAGCACATGGTATGCTAGCTAATGCTGAAAGGTGTCTGTGTAAGGCAG